TTTATTAAAACAAAATGTCTTAGATTTCAACGGTCATATGGCATCATAGAATAGCATGGTAGTGAAAGGGGCAGAAAGAGGGCGAGTAAAAGTAGGATAGGGGTTGACAGACGGGGGAAGGGTTAAGGACAAAAGGTGATTAGATCAAAGGGAAGGTATATATGCGTCTGAGGGAGAACAAGTTGTCAAGTGAAAAGGGATGTCCGACAGGTCAGGGAAGAGAGGACAAGTAAGGAAAAGCGAGGATATGGGCTTTATTAAAGCGGGGGCAGGATAGTATAGGATATGTGGGACTGAAAGACTTACATTGCACGAGGAGCACAGAGGTGAGTTGGAGCGTGACATGAGGTATGAAAGCGTGAGGCGGGTGTGATCTATTCGTAAACGGGCAAGAGTGTTTTCCCAGCTTCTGTTCTGGTGGTTTAGAGCCGACCAAGGAGAGATTGAAGGTTTTATGGTTTGCAGTTTATTAGTGGTCAGACCTGACCAGAAAGATTGCTAACGTTATAGAGGAAAGTTTTGAAGTGGTTAGTTGTCGGTGGCTGCAATGTATGAAAAGCGGGGTTGGTGAATTATGCTAGGGCATCTGCTTATTCATTGCCAAGGATCCCGGCAGAACTGGATATCGAGCAAAACTTACCTGCTCTATGTCGTGTAGACAGGTAAAGCAACTGGTCTTGTATTACGGACTATAGGGTTGATAGGGTTTATGGGTTGCGTGAGTGATATTGAGTTGCGTGAATCGGTAAAGATGGTGAAGGATGAGGAAGAGGTGGAGGACGTGCGATATAAAGCGAGGAGGATAGCATATAGTTCTGTTGTAAGGACGCTCGATTCAAGAAGAAGGGGAAAGTTGTACGTGTGAGGAGGAAAAACTGCAGCGAAATCAGTGCCCGAGGTAGATTTGGTACCGTCTGTATAGACATAAGTACTGGAGGATTGATTGGAGATATCTGCAAGAAAATGTGTGAGGATAATAGGTAGGATGTTTGATTTGGGTGCGTCAGGGAAAATAGAACAGCAATTACAGGAGGATGGTATTACCTAGGTAGGTAAAGATTGAGCAGAAATAGGAAGGGATCGGAGATGAGAAATGAGTGAATGGGAAAGTAGAAAGGGGTAAGTAAACGTGGAGAGGAGGTGAAGGTATGAAGAAGGGACTGAGGGATGGTTAGCCTGGAGAGAGAAAATTGGTGGAAACGGACAATGCCTCTTCGAGACAAAATGACAGGGAGTTTGTAAGAGTCGGAAGTGACGACGTACTTTTTCTTTACAGAAAGGCTATGATTTCTCCAAGACAGCTTGGAGTCAAAAATGATACCAAGGAACTTGCCTGAGGGGACTATACGTGAACGAGAAAAAAGATGGAAAAGGTTAGGTTAGGGTAGTAGAAAACCGAAAGCCGTGGTCGGCAGCCCAAGAAGTTCTTCCAGACTGAAGAAGCTGATGGAGAGCAAGTATGGAAGGATCAGAGGTTAAGATGGCTAAATCATCTACATACTGTGATGACAGGATACCTGGCGGTAGAGGTGAAACTAATCCGTTTACAACATTGAGAAATAATGTGGTGCTGAGCCTTGTGGGACACCTTCCATTTAAGGGAAAGAAGAGGAAGTAGAAGAGGCAAATCTGACACGGAAGGTGCGATCAGAAAGGAAGGACTTTGTGAAAACACCCATGACAAAGTTATGATATTGGGTACCACATTAGCCGGATGTTAACCACCATGTCTAGTAGTTTGCATAGGAAACATCTGAGTGTTATGGAACGGTAGTCTTGAGGAAGTTTGTTTTTTTTAGAAAAAGTAGTATGAGGGCTTCACGTCAGTGGGGAGTAAAGTTTCCGGTCGTCCATATGGTATTGAATATTGAAAGAAGGAAGGGTAAGAAAGTAGGTGGAAGGTGTTTTAACATATGGAATGTATACCGTTAATGCATTTCAGAAGAACAAAGATATTATAAAATTCTGTAGACGACAAGGGGGGAGGGGTGAGAGTGCGCTCTTTGTCTGATTTTATGGAAGAGAAGTAAGGAGAAAGATGAGAGCCACTGCCGACGTATCTAAAATAGGCACCAGGTTCAGTAGCTACTTGAGGAAGGTCAGAGATGAGATTATTGTCAAAGCGCCAGTTAGGGGGACTGGGAAGCGAGAGGAAGGAGAGTAGGGAAGTGATCACTATGATGAAGGTGGTCTAGAACTGACCAACGTAAGTCTAGGCGAGGGAAAGGACACCAAAGAGAAAGGTCAGGGCATGAAAAGGATTGGGTGTGCATGTCAAAGTGAGTGGGACGGGTTAAATCTAGGAGGATAAAGTCAGTATTGGAAGTGATAATGGAGTCACAACAAAGAATGTGGCGACAGTTAAAAGCTCCAACTATCAGGGAAGCTGACTGAAGCTAGGAAAGTAAGGCTTCAAAGGTTATAAGGTCAACGGGAAGGGAAGGAGAGAAGTGAATTGAAACGATTGTGATCCATCGCCGAAGAAAAATGCAAATAGCTGTGCAAGCTATAGTGATTTGTAAGGGAGGTATAACATATAGTGTTTTATGATGAATAAGTATGCAAAATGGTATTTGGCCATTGGTACTGGAGGATATGTGAGGAAGGTTTGGGGTAGGGGGGGATATGAGGAGGAGGAGGAAGGTAAGGGGGATATGAGGAGGAGGAGGATGGATGTCGGCAGTCACTTTAAATGTAGACGGAATGGGGGCAGAGGAACTGGAGGATGGTTGAATGAGCATTCTCTTGGGTCATGCTTAGGGGTTTCGGATGTTCTCAAGGGTTTCTGGAGGGGAGTTCGGGGGGTGGGGGGGACGAAGGATTTATTATGAGGATATGAAGAGGAAATGGACATTTAAGGAGTAGATGTAGTTGTAGGTGTGGGTGTGGAAAGTTTAGCTTGCCTGGTGCGACAGGTAAGACGAGGAGCAGACATAGTTGTGGACATTGGAGTATCTGCATTTAGAATGGAAAATTATTTGATTAGGAGATAGGGGTAGTAAGAGTGGGAAAGTGAGGTAATGAGGGAAGAGGTAGACAGTTTGGGTAGCGGGAAGAGGAGTGGCACGATAGATAGTATTAGAGTAGGGAATGACAGAACCACAACGGCGTGCTTCCTGTCTGGCCTCTTGTAGAATAAGGCCAAGTTTTAAGCTGTTTTAAACTTGTAGGCAGAGCAGTTCCTATAAATATATTATGGGAGTCACCGGAATTGACACATGTAAATGATTGTACTGTGCAATTTGAATGGTTATGGCGAGGTTGAGCACATAGAAGGCAGCGACCTGTGGAGCGACAGTGGTGTGAAGGGTAGCCAAAACGCCAACATTTCTGACATTGACGGAGGGGGGGGGTCGATATGGTCTGACAAAGCAAGATTCTCCTTCTATATAGACTTCAAGGGAAAAGTCCTGTCTACGGAAGGTAATATTGGAAATATTGCTATGGGACTCTAGGAGGAATAGTGTAGCACTGTACTGATACTACATAATAGTCAGGAACGCAGGCAAGTAAGTCTTCACAGTCTGACCAATCCTTGTCGTAGACAGGGTAATCAGCTGGGAGATGGAAACATTTCCAGTACAAGTATGAAGGGAAGAGTGAGGCAGGGCAGGAATAGGTTTGCCAGTGAGGTCAATCAGGCTAAATAGTGCATGGTCTTTGGACTCAGATGTAACTGTGACAAGGCATGAACGATCGGGACGGCTGCGAAACTTGGCCTACTTGCTTTAGGAGGATTCTTTGGAAAAGTAGGATATTGTCAGAGTAAGGCGCTGTAGGAGGAATCAGAAAAACATTGATCCCACTTGGTTGGACTAAACGGGGTACTCAAAATGTTTGTAGAGCTGGGACTTGTAGAGGAAGGAGGACGAAAGGAAGAGGGAGTGGTGTGGAGAGAGATAGTACTGTGGGTGGGTGGGGGGTGAGTGGCAATAAGGTTGAAAAAATGTAATAAGGGGGGAAACGGAGACGATTGTGCAGAGGGTGGGGTGCAGGATATTGGGAATGAGGAGGGGGTGTCTTCTGAAGGTTGAGTTAAAGCCTGGGTTGATGATTTAGGATTGGTCAAGTTGACAGTGTGTCGAGGATGGGGGTGTAGTAGCATTTGTCGGAACCGTGATCAAGTAGGGCAGGGGGAGGTGTTGGGGAAGATAGGGAAAAGGAAAAAAGGACAAGAAACGTTAGTTGAGCTGAGGGTTGAAGCCCAAGGTAGAGGAGATCCCAGCATTGGGCCTCAGTCCCCATCTCCTAAGCCCCCACTAAAGCCAATTTCCTTTATAAAAAGACACCATCCTAGTCTTTCCAAGGGAGTTTTTGATAAAACACAGAGTACTGCAAATATAGGAAAAGAAAATGTTCCATGATATCACATCTTGTTTACTCAAGATTATTATACACTACAGAGCTCATTCATGTACAAAAAACAGTTTCAATAAATAGATCTTCATACATTCATTAGAATTAATACAGTGATCCTCTTACCCTGGGATAACAAAATTAATTCACATATCCAATATCCTCTGTTAAAAAAATACAGTAAAACACCACTCTGTGGAGAACTTGCATAAATAATCATGCAAATAAATAAAAACATAATTCTCAAAAATAAGATGTAAGAAAAATAACTGACTGCTAAACTTACTGTATTAAAGTTGCAGAAAATTTTATCTGCAAGGAACTTAATATATAGGGCTTGTGTTTATTTGCTGTCCTATATTCTAGATGATAAGAAAACAGGTGAAAAGAAGAGATGCTTTCTCTAGAAAGTACTTCTTCTTTTCCCCTGCACAGAAACCCTTTTTAACCCAGTGCCACAGGGAAAATGTGATGTTCTTGGTAGTATTGTCTCATGAAATGTATCTGCACACTGATGGCTCTACAAGCACTCAGCCACCAAAGAGTCAATTAATAGTCTACGTGCCTTTTGCCTGATTTTCCCCTTCCTTGAGTTTTCAGAATTTGTTTTTTGAATGCAATTAATATCAATCATGTTATTATTAGAGAGAATAAAATTATTTGTGTTATTAACACATCTAACAGCATAACAAATCAATATATAAAGTTAATAACCAAAAATCAAGGGAAAGGCAAGATATATCAGACTAGTGATTGATTCACCGGTGACAAAGCACTAGTGTAGCCATCTATGTGTAACTACAATTAATAAACTAATCTCACTGTAGGCAATGCCAACCCTGGAGGCAGTGGGTTAAAAGCATAACTACAAAAGAAAATAGATACACTATGTAGTTTATAGTTATTTCTGAATCTACATAATACAAATGATATCACAATTAGAAACTGAAAGATTACTAAATCAATATCTAATATACAAAATAACTTTTTATCACTGATGCAACTCAATATGTTCCATACGAGTGGTATGTTACTGTAAGTATGATATTTCCACTTAAATATCATGTATCACACTTCCCGATAGCATAAAAATTGCTATCTCTCTTATCATGAAATTTTCCTTTTCTACTCCAGATAAAAACAAGAATAAAAAGAAAAAGAAAAAGAAATCATAGTCAAAATAACAGAAAAAAAAAAAAATCATTTTTATTACATCAATAACAATGACAATGATAATAAGAGTATTAATATTATTAATAATAATAGCAATAATAATAATAGTAAGTGAGTAGCAATAATAAAATCATAATAATTATTATAATAATGATAATAACAACAATTACATTACTATCAATGTTTCATGAATGAAAAAACAAAAAAATAAATAAATAACAAAAATCTGGTTCCAATCAATCAAATCTTTCAAACTTCCCACTTGGCACGACTTTTTGAACAATGCTGACAAGTTCATAAAAAGAAAGAAAGTCAGCATAAAAGGACAATACTGTAATGCTGAATACAATCCAAAAGTCAAACCACGAATATCTAAACAGAATATCAGGTCATCTTGAAATTTTTACGAAATCTATACAAAGAATAAGCCATCTATAGGGAGAAAGCCTTACGTACTTCCCCTTTTAATGAGAACACATATAAAAATAACCTGACAAAAATGAACACATAATTAGTCAATGAAAGGAACTCAGGAATGAAAGAATGTTTGGGTTCAATGAGATCATGTCTGAGTATACACAGAGAGACTCACTTGATTCTGATAATGAGAGTAATTACCGTGATTAATTAGTGCAAACGTGAGAAAAAGCGAACTGAAAGATATTTCATACTATTAATGGAAGTAACGCTCTTTATGTAATGGTCAGAATGTGGGATATATCGTTTAGAGAGACAAAAATCTATAACTGAAGTGATTTCAGGTAACACAGCTTCTGGGAAACTATGAAACATCCACTCAGAATAAAACCGAGTCTTGAACTGAATAAGTGGACGGAACTCGCGCATTCGTTTGGCATCATCTTCGGGGGCGGACCTGGTTGAACAGAGGGCTGATTGCAGTCACAGCTGTCAGGAGGTGGGATCCCAGAGGAAGGGACTGAGTGTTCAGGCTGAGGCTGTACATCTGCTTTAACAAGGTCACCTCATTTCCACTGTAGCTGCTGCTGTGAATGTGATTGGTAGGAATGGTTATATTTTTTTAAATATTTCATATTGGCTTAAATCTTACCCAATTCATTGACTAACTATACTTCATATATGATATGACAATTTTTCTATACTTCAAACATTTATTTCATAATTTTGAATGGATGAATATTATTAGTGGCCAATTTCTAAATGAAAATGAAGTGTAAAACAAAAACAAAAAATCCTGCCACCACTAAGGAATTCCAGAAATCTTACCTCTTTTTTGAGCACTTTGATTGAGCATACAACTTAATGAGCGACATGAGCGAGTTCTGCAGCTTCTTCTCAAAGACTTTCAGGAGTGCCAGTATCTTCTCCTGGCTCTCCTCGTCGTCGTATATCACAGCCTCGGTCTGGGGTTGAACCTCTTTCTCCTCTCCGTTGTTATTGTCTCCTGCCTTACTTCTGCTGGGACTTCCAGTATGAAACTTTTCTCTAGGGTTGGCACTGCAGGTTGCACCAGGCTCCCCCGAGTTGCCTTCTGCTCCCTGAGGGTTGGTCTTCGGCTTGGCCACAGTCTGGGTGATGATTTTCAGTGCGGAGATGGAGTCCATCAGTAGTTGCAGGATTGAAAAGTGGAGTTTCATGGTGATTGGGGTGTTTGCTGTCCCTGAGGAAAAGTTGTGAAAAAGGGAGATGAAATTAATAAGAAATGAATAGGCTGATCCACTGATGGCAGAACTATTGACTATCTGATTTATACTCACTAGAAATTCCTTTGAATCCTTTGCAGTATTCACTGTCATATCCTCTGACATATCACTTAACAAGAGTGTAAAACTAAATCCACATTTTTACTTAGAAAACTGTACTCTATAAATGCTTACTGAATACACCCCAAAAATAGACTAACAAAAAGCAGGTTTGAACCTCTATGTATAGAAATGTGAAGGAAAAAAATCTGTAGAATATCTTCCAGCACTAGTCACTCTAAAATTCACACACACAAACACACAGTAACACATGCAACACTCACTTCTTCACTCACTCCCTTACCTGACATCTGATCTTCTATGAGCACTGCCTGATCCAGTTGTACTTTGAGAATATCAATTGGGTTCTCCAGCTGCATGAAGAGCGAAGCTGCCTTGCTGTAGTTGAGCTCTGCCAGATGCCTCATGGTTTTCTTATCTCCTTGGCTATGTCTGAATTTGAAGAATAGTGGCAGAAAAACAAATGAAGCAAAATTAACACTGCTTATTACTTTTCATAATGTGAGAATATTTCAGAAATATTTAGATGAGGAACTACATTCCTTAAAATATTAACAAATATAAAATAATCAGAATATATGTAGTTATGTATTTTTTGCATAATCTGTTTTTTTCATACATTACAGATAAGAAAGAAAACACCATTCATTTCATGAAATATCCAACAGTGCAAGAGTGACTCACCTCACTGCATTGTGATAGATGCCAGCAAGCCGCATGTAAATAACTGCAGCCCGGTACTGGTACAGAGGCTGTCGTGCTCCTAGTGTTTTCACATCACAGTGTTTGAGAGCTTTAGTGAGAAGATCCATAACTTCACGACTATGTTCTTCGCCAGGCTGCAGGCAAAAAATCACAATGTTTAAAAAAAAGGCAGAAGAAAATTACTTTACATGACAAAAACTGATGCAGAAGCACAAAGAGTGATTTTGTTCAACACTGAGCAATTCATTCCAGATGATACCAACCTTTGATTCCAACGGGGGATGGTCTTGTAACAAGGACGCTATGGTATATAAAGTTGTGCTAAATTCCCACACTACAAGATCCCAAATGTCTGGACACTTTTTCCGAGACTTCAAGACTTCTAATGCTTTCTGGTATTCTTTTATTGCCTGAAAAGTGGAATAAGAAGAAAAATTCACTGTTAGATGAACAGTCACAACAGCAACATGAACATAGAAACAACAAAGCTGTTAAATGATTTTTAAAATCTTTGAAAAAAGTTGTTAATGTACAAAAATCTTCTCCTATATAAGTTCCTCTCTAAATCAATTAATTGCATTATTAAAAATTGGCTAATGGCCAGTATGATGTAGGTTTGCTGGTGGGCAGTGGCAGTTTCCCCCATTTGTGCCTGGCTTGTTCATTAGTTCAAGCACAACATTAGGCAACCAAAAGCTTATAGCCGTATTCTATAAATAAAAGTTTGACAAAACTGAAGGTTTTCCTTCACTTTAGGAGCCTATATCTAATAGTGACCCCAAACAAATGATTTTGCTGCTACTGGAGGAAGACAAACTCCCTCTGATGAATAAAGAAATTACATGAAAAAGTAGATCACAGAAGTGATAGAGAGAAAGGCAAAATATTATAGATTCAAATGTTTATCAAAATTCACTAACAAAATAGTCAAAGTATGCCTTTTGCTAAGTCATTATAGAATACTTTTCACCTTTTTTTAAATCTATGGATATCAAATTCCACAGTATATAGCTTCTATATACATTAAATAGCTTGACATACTGTATATTTATCTTTGCAGGTCAAATTCTTCAACATAAATATTGTTTTAAAAATCAAATCTTACCTGATCATAATAGTGTCTTTCCTGTTTGGAGAACTCCCTCACACCTTCTTTGGGGACGCAATAGAATGCACAGAGTCGGAGCAGACGGCCTGTGTTGGAATGCAGGAGGGCTATATTGGTAACGTCACCCACACGTGTAAAATTTGTGATTCCGCGGTTGAGGACTTCGGCACTTCTCTGCCACAGTTCTTCCGCCGCTTGGAACCCAATGTCATTTTCCTCGCAGAGCTCTGTGGGTGATGGTGAAAGAAAGAGAATTTAAAGTAATCCGGTCATTTGCATCCTGATGTTTTACAACAGTCTATGGGGTCTTTCACAGAACTTCTTCCCATACTGTAATCTATGAATATTTGTATCCTGTGTGAGTTCTTTACTAATATTACACGATATATATCAACACAAAATCAGTTGGAGAAGCATCCAAAAGATGTATTCACCAATCCCAAAAAGGCAGAATCTCCTGTAAAACTCTATATTTTTCTCAAACCAAGACAAACTAGATGCACTAATCAGAAAGCCATACAAACAACCAGCATTCATTACTTGATGCCTGATTCATGTACATGACTCCCAGCTCGTTGCAGATGTTCCCCAGGCGACGCGACAGGTGAATGGCTGTTTGAGGATCGGCAGATGAGAGGGCCTTCTCAAAGCACATTGAGCTCAGCCTTAGGGCCTCTTCAACATCACAGGCTAGTTTGATGGTCCAGTTGCACTCTGGATTGCAAAGGTCTTATTAGCAGAACAAAGGAAAAGAAAAAAGAATGGTAAGAATTTTCATTTATTCTAAAATAATTCATACTGAGTGTTATTAGCTATAATTGTATTCTAGGATCTGTCTAGCAACTTGGATAATAGTAATAGTAACACAAACACAACCTTTTTTATTCCAAGAACTTACCCTCTGGTAAAAAAATATAATTTCTATACTGTATTTCACAATAAAATCTAAATATAAAGTATAAAACACAGGCAAATTTATCACTAACAATGTATAGGTGAGTGGATTACACATGCTCTTAATGTTTTCTGGCATAAAACAAAAGGTTTTGCTAGTATATTTTGATGTTCTATTTCAAATGAATATGTTCATCACTATCATATTTCAGAAATATCCATAGAAATATAGTTACCTAATACTTTTACAGACACAGAAAGGGAGATGTGTGTGAAGCTTTGCAAAATACTGATACAGAGGATATAAAAAATTCCAGACAAGTAAAATAATATCACACTTCCCTTAACTGTTGGCTAATGAATGTCACTACATGCAAGACACAAAAAATCAGCTTGTTGACTCTCTAACACACAAATACATATACAAAATTCAAAGATGCATAACACAAGCCATATCAATGATTATACAACTAACACTGCTCACCTTGGGCCGGCAAAATATTGGAAAGGAGTGACAGCATGTCCTGGTGTGCTGAAATGACATTGTTATAGTCCTCAATATGACTGGCCACTTCATCCCATGCCTTTGAGAGCATGTAGTATGTGTCACCAGCTAATGTCAGTGCCTGGCATGGGACGGGGACATCACATTCCTTGACACCAAGCTTGCGAGCCATGCCATCCCAAGCATGAAGGGAGAACTTCACATACCTTAAGGCAAGGCCATACCTGAAAGGGACATCTGAATGAGAAATCTCCAGTATAACGAGTTGTATTTGAGTATACGAAAATAATTTTACTATTACTACTTGACACAGCTGTAACAAAATAATGTAACATAAGAATGTAATTTATAGGTAATATTACAATACATAATAACAATACCTGATATGATACCAAAAGAGAATTTTTCTCTTACCTTTGGCTATTGAAGCAACTCCTTGCCATGACAAGGTACACTAATGATGCTTTTCTCAGGACTAGCACATGCAACTTATCCCACCAACTCGCCACAGCATACTGCTGACTAAATAAGGACACTGTCAGCCTATGGTCATTTGTCTTATCTTTGGCTACCACTAGGGCTGTCTTTTCATCCTGCTTCTCTGCATTAAGGGGAGAATATGGCATGGGAATTGGCTCAAAAGGCCTTGCCATCTTTGGTTCTTCTTCCTGGTGACTCCTTGAACACATGGGCTCTTGTCCTCTTGAGGAGCTGTGATGCTCTCTCTCACTTGTACTTGAGATGTGGAGGCACTGTAGGGCTTCTATCACATGGTTAAGAGCACAATGGCATCGCTCCTCAAGTGTACCCAACAGGGGAGGGGCTCTGAAACAGACAATTTCTAAGCATTTGCGTACAGAAATAATTATATACTGGAATAAATATAACATGACTTTCAAGTAGTCTCTCTATCAACCTATCTATTTGTCTATGTTTTATCTACAAATGTATGCATACTTTTATTCTCTTCCATATGCAAAGTACCAAGAACATAACATACTTATAATGCTGCGACTGTGTTTTATTAGCATGGGGGAGGCAGAGTGACGAAACCTTAATTGAAGAACTACGGTTCGAAAGGGTGACAGAGTGGTCTTCTGCATTGCATTCATCATCACTTTGATCCTCGTTGTCGCTACTGACTGTAGAGGACCACTCACTGTCTTCATCACTACAGTCCGACAAAACTGGGGAGTCTGGGTCAATGTCTTGGGGTACATAAAGGTCTGAGAGCATGTAATGTGCCGAGGAGACGATCTGGAAAGTAATTTATGCACGTTTTTTTTTTTTTTTCAAATGCTATTATTACCAATACTGATCTTATTATAACTGAGATTATGATTATTATTATGCTATCAAAATACTACTAATATTAAAATAATATAATCTTTCCAGAAATTAAGGAAAAGGGTAAACAGGTGAGACAGGTAGGACTAGCAACTAATACCTTGTGAAGCCATCTCAGTGTAAACAAAATCAATAAACTAAAATTAAAGTTGAAATGGCATGGACTTTTGCCATACAGATTAACCCCTACAATCTGGATGACGTGACCTTCACATCATGAAAAAATTGAGCTTGAGGGCCATGTGACGTGAACATGCAGTCATGGGAAATTCTGGGTGTGGGTGTGCAAACTTCTTGGAGGATGATTAGACTCGTTTGGCATTTAGAAAGGGACCTTTGCTCAGTATCCTACTCCTGGCTGCTGTGACCAGTGGCGCAGGTTATATTATGAAAAATGGAACATTCCGAAAAAATATAAAAAATGCTATTATTCTTGCACTGAGTTATGGACTAACTGGAGAGGTGATATGGAAGGAAAACAGTCTACTACCATCTGGAGAGAGCAAATCAAATGATGAATATAGAAATTGGAAAATGGAAAACAAGCCAAAAAACACTTATGCATAAAAAAAGAAAATATTGCAAAGAGTCTTGTTAACGCAGCTGCTCATGTAAGCCTAATGCCCATATTTTGGGACATGTGACTGCCATGAAACACAATAATCTAATACCTACAACTAAAATGCTATATTACAAAAATAAAATAAAATAACACAAATTCTATAGCAGTAATCCATATTTTACAACCATGATTCACTAATCTAACCTCCAGCAATTTATATTTGCATAGTTCCACTCACTTTTGGATACTCATTCTTGTTTAACAGGCTCAGTGAGTTCCGCAACAAGGCCCTTATTGTTGCAATCTTATTGTGGGCGTCCTCTGAGGTGCGCATGTTCTTGGCAACCCTATAGAAGAGCATGGCCACAGGTACGGTGAAGGGGTTGCTTGCATCCTCGTTCTGCGTCTCTTCCTCTAACCCATCCACGCTGATGCAACCCTCTATGCACAGTGAGGTTAGGTCGTACAGCTTAACTATGTCATCATCCTTTCCTGTAGTGATAGGTTAATTTGATAATCAAGTATATAAAGTATAGTATAATGTGATTTGATTACATGATAAAAATAAGTGGGTATTTGGTTTATTACTCTGATGGCATATCAGCTTCCCTTGTGCATAGCTCTATCCTCTCAAATATACAAGTAAAAAAAAATATACTAAATCTGTGAGAGTAAAATCAATGTGAAACAATACACTTTCACCTCTTTGCTACTTCTTACCTTTTCTTTTTTCCAAAAATTTTCAAACCCACCTTTGAAAAGCCAATATGTGTGCCCCTCCTTAGTTGCCTTGCTGTTGAGGAAGGACAAGATGTTCTGGGCAACATCTCGCACCAGTGTCGGCGAGAACTGCGAGTCGCTCATGTGTGGAAGGTCTTCGGTCTTGATGAGCTCATACTTCTGAACAATCCCATCCAGGTGGTAGCACATAACAACTTCTGGTACGTTGCACATGAGGTTGTCTAGCCAATAGTCTATGCCTAAAAGAGGATGTTGTTTGTTACCGAGTTATGTCCCAGATTCTTGTCACAAAGGTGTGGTAATTGTAATGAATAGGTCAGTAAAGAAGGCTCTATTCTAGGACAATGCCCAGCCTATACTTTCTAAAGTTTTCAAATAATCTCATTGTACAAACTAAAAGAAAATAAGGGTGATGGCAAATGGAGAACAAGAAGAATATGTTAAAAAAAACTCTCTGAACTTTGTTAATTGCAACAAATGTAGAAAAGGAATGAGTATGAATATCCTCAAAGTGCAGGCAATTGATTGGACCAGTTTTGATTATATCTTCGTCATGTATAATTGAAACCTGTCAAATGCATCTCTTGCACTGTGAAGATATTCATTCTCATTCACACCTTTCCTACAAAATAATCTATCTCTTACCAGTCAATATGTTGATTGGCTTGTTCATATCCCTCAGCCTCAATGACACACAAGGATGAGTTCCTCCTCCAAAGATGGGCAAATCAGTCCCTATGAGCATGTGCAGGTCTTCAAAGTTCCACACCACATTCCTTGTAAAAGTCTGGCCTGAAGCTTGTGGCAGCTGGTCCTCTATGGTGGGCTCAGGCATTACCTCATTCCGCAGCACTGAGGGCTGTGTGTTGAGATTTGAGACTGTTGTGAGGTGGTGTGTGATTGCACAGTGATAATGATAGGTTATAATTCTCATAGTGAAATTTGTGGTTATGATATGAAGGAGTATCATATTCATAGCAAAACATACACTAGTTTTCACTAGGTTATTTATATCATTTATAAATGCATCTCTTAACAAGGCCAATATGTTCTTTCCATATCCCAACTATAAAAAGAAACTATTCACATATCACACTAAAAACCTTTATGCATGAAATAATTACATAAAATAATTGATCTATTGCATATTCATTTATAACTTTTTATAATTATTATACCCAAAAATGTGTTTATTTGGTGTTTGTTAGATTTAAATTTCATCTGCAACATAATGCACTACCATCAAATGATTGTAATGCAATGATATGAATATCAAGTTTTATGTTATAGAGGAAAGATAACAACTAACAAAACATTGAATAAACACTACTTTGGGCTACTGGTCTGAGAAAACTTTAAGATGTATATGCTTTTACATAATGTGATTTCTACTTTTTGTAATGTTCCACAAAAAACAGCCAACTCTCCACAAATAAAATACATTTCCAGAATATGATTCAAAATAACGATCATGCAGTCATCAACTAATTTTTTTTTTCCATTTGTGATCAATATATACAGGTGGCAATTGTGAATTTGCATAATGGCAATAATAAGAGATAACAATCAAAATAAGTCTAAGACATACCTGAGTCTTTTTAAACTTATTGTAAAAATGTCTATAACAAGGAAGGAAAGTTAGAAGAAGTGAGGAAAAAACAGTTAAAAAAGAAGATGAGAGAGAGAGAGAGAGAGAGAGAGAGAGAGAGAGAGAGAGAGAGAGAGAGAGAGGAGAGAGAGAGAGAGAGAGAGAGAGAGAGAAAGAGAGAGAGAGAAAGAGAGAGAGAGAGAAAGAGAGAGAAAGAGAAAGAGAAAGAGAGAGAAAGAGAAAAAGAGAGAGAAAGAGAAAAAGAGAGAGAGAGAGAAAAAGAGAGAGAGAGAGAAAAAGAGAGAGAGAGAGAGAGAAAAAGAGAGAGAGAGAGAGAGAAAGAGAGAGAGAGAGAGAGAGAAAAAGAGAGAGAGAGAGAGAAAAAGAGAGAGAGAGAGAGAGAGAGAGAGAGAGAGAGAGAGAGAGAGAGAGAGAGAGAGAGAGAGAGAGAGAGAGAGAGAGAGAGAGAGAGAGAGAGATTTTTTTTTTCAGTATTTCATTCATTAAAAAAAATATATATTGTCAGCAATGCAAAAGATAAAACTGTGCTATAAAACTTTACTTTCAAAGAAATTATGTTCACACTTTGGTACTAAATATTTACATGTGATTATTTTGCAGTAAAGAACCTATCACTATTTCTGCTAAGTGTATCTAGTGGTTGAAAGAGTATAGCAAAACTCCTTACAAACTACTCCCCCATAACATTCACAACAGTAATAAAAAATAACACAAAAAAATGTATTACTGTATATGATTTTAATGACTTTTGTGTGTCTTTTCTTATTGTCTCTGACAGCACAATCTACCATCTCTTAAACCATTACTATATTTGAAGGACATGAAAGGAGTTTTCTACACTTAACCCTCAGCACAGTAATCAACTGAGGTACAGCAGGTGTAAGAAACCCTGGTGTCTTACATTCTCAAGGTTAGTGATCCAATGCCAATACATTTGCACATCCATACAATGCACCAAGAAAATGTGTAATTATATCATTTCATATAAAAGACATTCAAAAGACTGATTTGAATACAATAAATTTGCCAAAACAGAGTTCATGTTTCATACTACAAACATAACATAACAATCCCTTTTCAAGCGTGTGTGAGTGTTCTATTTTTGATCTTATTCTTCTTTGCTTTTCTTAGAAAGGAATGCAGATGGGAGAAAGGAAAAAAAATAGGAAAGGAAGAGGTAGGAAGGAGAAAAGACAGGAAAAAGGGAAGGATGAAACAGAGAGAAAATAGCAAAAATATGGTTCCAAGGACATTAATTACATCACCCACTGTGTTACTACATATTAAACACACTGGAAAGGAATGTACTTATATTGCTAATACATTTCTATAAGAGAAAGGTATGTTTCATACTACAAGAATGACATCATACATTTCAACAATACCTTTTCAAGCATGTTAGTATTGTATTTCGACCTTATTCTTCCTAACTTTTCTTGGGAAAGAATGCGGATGGGAGAAAAGAAAAAGTAAGAAGGGAAGAGATAGCAAGGAGGAAAGGCAGGAAGAAGGGAAGGAAGAACCACAAAAAAAAAGTGAAAGTGTGGCTGCAAGGACATCAATCACATCACCCACTGTGACACACCACATTAAGCATACCAATAAAAGGATGTACTTACAGTGCTAAAACATTTTTTCATAAATAAAATATTCCAATGGTGTTAATGGAAAATGTGTTTCTTGGACATCATAATTACAAATCTTCATTTTCTTGGTGCATTTTTCCCATCTTTCTTTTCTAAATGAAAGATGATGATTGTGGCAGTAGCAAGGAAAGTCCATGTCCTTTAATTAGTCATGAGAAGGACATGCTTGTAAAAACAGACATACAAATTGAAGCATATGTCATAGCTCTTACTCCCAAAAGAAACTTCCTGTGAGTTGCAGGAAAAAAGTTGAACTCCAAACGGAAATATGAAAGTGAAACGAAAGTGGGACAATTTGAATAAGTTATCTGCAGTCTAATTGTTAAAAAAGAAATTTGCAGATGCTTCTACATGTGCATATCTATGTGTCTATTAAACTGATATAAAACATTTTTGCCTTACAAGTACATCACTCTGTCTACGTTGTTCCTGAGTAAAAGGAAAACAAAATGTTAAAAAAAAAACAAATCCCTATATAGCATACTTCAGATGAGAAACCCAAATAAACAAATTCCTTAAAGAGACATTTCAAAAAACAGTTTCTGAAGTTTTCAGGATAACTAATAAGTGCAGCCCTCCTTAAAAACCTGCCTCAACCCGTCACTGCTGGGCCACATGTATAGCCATCATAACAAACCGCATGATCTGCCGGGTATGGCTATACGAGTGGCGACACACTAGAGCGCGGCGAGCAGGAAGTTCAGCTACATGTAGTGAACTCCCACTCCCAACAGCAGGACGGTTGCTGGAAATCACCGGTGTCTATGACACCGAGAGATTTCTAATACCGTCACTAACGGATTAAAGCACGTTTCATAAAGCAATAAATCTAGCTATATTCTTTTAGTATTAAAAGCCATTGTCAGGAGAGAGAATACTCAATTATGTAATCAAAACATAGACATAAAAATGACCATCTAACACGGTGCAAATCTTCACATGTTTCAAGTTCAAAATTTCAAGTAATATCTCTGTAAGAATACAGTTGCAATGCATCAAATTCCAAGTCACAGCAAGAAAAATGTTAAACAAAGGCTGTACCTGTTTACATGGCACCTGAATTTCTGGTAACAAACTTCAAATATACATGGTATGTTTCTGACTAAGGCTTTCCTGTCCTGAGAGTAATTAGTAATATCTTTATCCTTATTTTCAAATTTTAAAGTTTTTTTTTTTTTTACATATTTATTTATCTATTCATTGTCTGAAACAGAGACTTTAAAAACAGGAGAAAAAACACCAATCCAACTTACACGTCGTACAGATACTGGGCTCTCTGTCTCTGACTGGCTAGGGGGGCTTGCAGGACGGTTCTCTTCCTCGTTGATGCTGTGGTACAAAAACTTTGATAGGAGGCTCCGACTCTGCACAACGTTGCGACTCTTGTTGGGCCTCACCAATACATTTTCCTAGAACATAAAATATTAGTTTAATTGATTTATGGATGTTTGGTCCAGGGGTTCAAAATTGTTCATTTGTTCAGTTTCCAGCTGGAATAACCATCATTATCACCAATTTTATCAGGTGCCTTGATGACTCCAAAATATATCAGTAGCTTGAATTTGTTTAACACATGAATAGCTTTTGTTCTACTCCTGGACGTTTTTTCTTTATTTATTCATCTATTTTTCTAAGATTCTATGTCTCTATCACTTGAATTTGGGGTACTAATAAATATCTAACTCTCACCTTGTGTGCAAGAGACTGAAGCACATGCTCAAAAAAGAACTTTCGCAGCCACTGCCACTCCTTCTCTGACTGCCTAAGCAGGTACTTGTAGATGTCAAACTCATCGATGAGGAGTGTCTTGCCCACGCGGTGAATCATCATGCTCACGTGAGCCTTGGGGTTGTAGGGGATCTTCAGTAATTTCTTTATATTCTCGGCATCTGATATGACATCCACTTCCCCGATGCAGTCTAGGAATTGGTGAGCCATCAAGAAGCTGAAGAAAGTAGCAGTCATAATAGAGTTACACTAATGGACATTTTGTGGAAACTGAGTACCTGCAAATAAGGATATAAATTTTCTGTGAAACATCTGTGATATGAAATTAATTTTCCATTTGTTATTTTCGATGGAATGATATAAAAGAAGGGGGTAATGAAAATATCAAATTAATTTTAGATTAGAATCAATAATTCTAATATCAAAGGGAGCTCACAACTTCAAATTTTCTGCATTTCCTACCTTGAAAAATCAGCATGTTTGTGCGTAGGATTTGGCAATCTAATTGAAGAGTGGTCCTGTAACCAGTTTGAGGGAGGCATCTTAAGATCCGTGTTAGACTGCAGTTCGTGGAACTGAACAGGAAATTCAACCTAGAATAAGAGAAGCAAAATTAGCATGAAGAGCTACAACAACAGAGATATTTCTAAAATACAACTGTAAGCCTAAAATAACATTTAGTTCACTTTACATCTTTGAATACACCACCTCTTCCTTGTAACTTATCTTTTACAAAATTTTCTCCCATCCATTTTTAATCTATCCTCTCACAACTCATTCACACTGATCTTGTTTCACTGCATTTCAAGTGATACAGACCTTAAAAACACTGACACCATCACACAGCAAATTTCTTCTGAGACACAACAAAATTCATATTTTGATGAAGCCCTCCATATGTTCTTGGCAATTTTGCAGTTATTCTTGAATATAATAAACTGGTTCTCCTCTCTCCTTGTCTAAATTTTAATTTGAACCAAAGATTTACTAGTCAAAATATAAAAAACAGAATTATTCTTACAAGACACATCTTACTAGGGCATAATAATAATAGGAATAATCAGTAATAATGGTCACTTACTTCTGAACTTTTAACAACAGCAACAGACCGTATGTGTCCATCTTGGTTTTCATTCAGGTTTCCGTTGATCTTGGAGTCAAAAGAGCCTGGCTGACTATATGCCCTTCCCCTATCACTGTTCTCTAGATAGCTTCCATGGCTCAGCCCTAAGGGTGGTTTTCTGATGGGACTAAGGGCCTGAGTGGGCCTTGTGACAGACTTTGAAGGAGAGATGACAAGGGAATTCAGCATGGTTGGTGTCAGGTTCGTATGAGAAGCCTGGTTGTCGATACTTTGTGTGTCTGCCTCCCCATCTTCCTTTGTATCCATTTCTGAAGTGAGATGAGGAAAGAAATAAGTCATTTTATCATGGGACTTCTAATATATGTGTACATATCTAAATACAAATTGAAATAAAAAAGGGAAATAAATATCAAATCATATATGTTCTTTTTTCTGATAATTTTACTAATATATATTTAAATAAGTATTTTTCATTAAAATCATTGGAATACAAGGAAAGAACTTAATCTAAGACTTTTTTTAATTACTTTCTTATTTATGTGATATTCTATAAATTTGTCACAGTGAATATATGGAAACTAGATACACATTAAGTCTTAGAAAATGGAATAACAAAAATGTAACTGGTCTTATGAATCCTTGCAGGATAAAACAGAAACTATATACAATAAGCTGAAATCTTCCTGGACCATCAACACCACCAAACCAGCGCTCTAGTTAAAGAATGGGTATCATCAAACATCTAATGCCCAGCCACAATTGAGTATCAGGAAGGATCAACTTGCCGCAAGGATTCTGTG